ACCAACCAACCTAGATCAACCACCACCGCCAGAACATCCCCAAACTAACCAGACCACCTCTGTTCCAGGCTTCATCATGTACTTCTACTACGGCATCAAGCACAGCAGTCTCGAGGAGGCCAGCAAGTCCGAGAACCTCGAGGAAACCGTAACAGCAGGCAACATCGAGCTGACGGTGTCCGAGCCCCAGCGACAGCAGCAAACGCACCATCAATACCCGGCGCCTGATCGCAGCATCTACGAGAGCCAGCAGCTGGACGCGTTCGGCCAGCCGTTGTTCGGCAGCACGAATTTCGGCGGCACGCCCAGCCAGAGGCAAGACACGACGACAACAACAGCAACAACCACGTCCGCTGGCCAGTCGCTGTTCGTCACCCAGGATGACTTCCCCACCTGGGACGACTGAACGACCACCGACACAAACACAGTATAAATACGCGTATTCATATATATACACACACGTATATATGAATATATATTTGATGATACATAAGATAAATTATTACGCAAGCCTGACCGGCATCGAATGTTCACCGACGATCAGGAGGGGGAACGGGAAAAATCCGAGCAAAAAGGGAACGACCCTGTGGGAGCCTCGCGATGGTCTCCGGCCTCTGTGTTAGATCATGATCGAGCGACGATTAGACAGGTCACAGTTGGTTCCTCAAACAGTTCCTTCTACGTTGGCTCCTCGGCTTTGTCCCGTCGCACAGTGGGGTAGATCACGGGTTTATTCGTTGGAAGTCTGTAACGTTTGGATCAGTGGAGATGTACGGATTTTTTGGAACTGCGGAATGGTCTTTGACGACTTTGTAGGAACGTGATAATTATTTTATGTAGTGCTAGGTGTAATAACTGAGGATCATTGTTATTGCTATATAGTTGGTCAAACTATATTGTTATTTATATGGTTTGCTCTTGATATTTATTATTAATTATACTTATTTATTGTTTATTGACCCTTTACTTGATTAGTTATTTATTTATTACTTATTTACTTCTTCCCAAGAAAGATATCATGTTTACTATTAGCGAATGTTTCCTTCTTAATTGAACAAATTTAACCCTCTGCACTCGACAATATTTATTATTAGAAACCTTCATTACTTCCTGACGAAATATTAACAATATTTGCAACTTACATAAAGAAACATCTTGCACAAACTACGGGGAATTGTTTTATTTCTATGTTTTGTTTGTTAATATCTTATTCAACAGTTTATATTGAATTTTTCATGGCGACTGAGAGTCGCCTCTCGAGTGCAAAGGGTTAAATTCCTTAGGAACTGTGAAAAATTGATTTTTGGTCATAAAAGCATCGATATTTTCCCACTGTGCCTCGGTTCCATGAAGGAGGCACACTATGTTCAATTGTCTTCAATATGAGCCAAGTCTTTGGGTCACTCTTTGGGTATGCTGATGATCAGACTGAGGATCCTAATGCCAGTCTCCCTTATAGACAGAGGAATTAAATAGAATTTTACTTATGTTGAATTTGAAATGGGTGTTGGAAATTGGTATTTTTTGGATTTTGTTAGTCTAAATGCGTAGGAGTCTCAGTCTGAGGTGGAGGTGATAGGTGTCCTGATGACGATCCATTTCTGAGGAGTTTCCTTCTCTGTAGCTTAGTAATTTCTTCGGGTAGTGTCCAGTTAGATTGTTCTTTGACGAACTTGGAAACTGTTAGGGAGGATCTCCTCAGGGCAACCTGGAGCCCAAGGAGAGGGCCCAATTTTTTTAGCATTTTGTATTTCGGGACAGTGTGGTGTCTGTGGGTATTTGGACATTTGGCGGAACCTGATTAATAACTTTTAGTTACTTTTATTCTCTTTATTATTCGTATTATTTCTATTATTTTTACAATCAGTAAAATCTCCTTATTATTTTTATAAGCAATGAAAATAATAGGAATAACCTCGTATATGCTACTGCTATTAATAAATTTTTAATTGAGAGGTTTTAACAGTTAAAACATTAAAGCAATATCTATAGGAAAAGTAATTATAAAAGTATCTAAACTTTATCAAACTATTATCATGATAATGTTTAATTATACGAAATAAGATTGGATGACATTTTCCACTAATAGATGTTAGTCACACATCTCAGTCGAAAAGAAAAATAATTTAAAACACACTTCATAGAATTCATCTATCCAAGTACTCACAGAAAACAACGTGCACAATGATCCCAAATAGAAACTTGCCTGTAGCTTCTCTACGAACAATCCAAAAACATAAGGTTTATTCGCAAGGAAATGGTTGCAGAAAACATGGACGACTAACGGTGACATTCCGCTTCGAAATTCCGAGCTTCCTTCGAATAATTTCACACTCCTTAAAAAGTAACGTCAATTCCCTGTCAACATCGTTCAATCGTCCCCTTCTGCATCCAAACACCGAAGAAACAACAATCAACAATTAACCTTTCGCCGGCAATATGGTTTCTCACCAAACGTGGCCATTTACCGGCATTTTATGGTTTAGCTGGATGTTTCATTATTGTGAATTATATAAAAAACTGAAGAAATTCTGAGATACTGGTTATAGTCCTTAACTTAATTTACAAATGGCACTTTAAACATATCAATCTTCATATCAATATATAATAACAGTTACAAATCGTGGCGTGGTCGCGAAGAAATTAGATTTTCGAGTACTTATAATATGGACTACTTTTGTCTCTCAACTGAAGGTCGTACTTTTCATTCGCCTGAATTAATATTTATTTAATAATATAATATATTATTTTGTTACATATGATATTACAATATATTATTTTCCTTATACTTAAATTAATTGTTACACAATATACTAAAGTAATATATTATATTATTACATAAAATATTACAATGTACTATTTCACTATATTCAATAGTACAATATTGAAATATATTACTTCATTACATTTAATATCATAATATTATATATTATTTTCTTACATGTAATATTACAATATATTATTCTGTTCGTTATCAAATAAGTGATTACAGTGTAATAAAATAATATATTATATTATCACACATAATAGCACGATATACCATTTTACTATATTCGATATTACAACATTGAAATGTACTATTTCATTGTATTTAATATTATAACGTTATATATTATTTTGTTACATTTAACATCACAATATATTATTCTGTTTATCAAACATAATAGAATAATATATTATCTGTTACACACATACTATACAACATTTTGTTAAAACAAAGCTAGTCCATATAACAAATAGACACCGATTTCCGACAGGCCTGTAATGCTCCATATTGCCAGTAAAGGGTTAACGACAACAAACAAACCAATCGAATAGCTGATCTGCGAGCCTCCCAGGGGTGGACTTGTTGACTACTGTTTTTTCCGGGACGAACGTAGCGAATAATTTCTCCGCGGCAATATTATCCTAGTTGTATAAAAAAAAGAAAACCGA